AAAGCGGCCCACCCCGCGACGGCGCTGGCTTTGGGAGGGACTGTTTCCGTGAGGCCGGCCGCCGGACAACCGCCCACTCCTCCCGCTAACGTCTTTTCCGCGTCCCGCTCCTGAGAACCTTGGCTCGGGAGAGCGACGCAGGCCCTCGGGGCTGCGCAGGCCGGCGCCCTGACTGCGCCCACACGAGAGCAAGGCTCGCTCACCGCCCTGCCCTCACCTTCACCTCCTCGAGAGCGAGGCCCAGAAGCAGCGGCTTGGCCCCGAGTTTGCGTCGGGACCTCCTAATCCATGGCGGGGGTGTGTGTCTGGTCATTTGGGGTTCTTGAGTACCAGGGGCGGCGCCTGGCCCCCGGATTTCTGTGCACGTGACCCGGCGGGGCAGGAAAGGAAATTTGGAGTTTTAGGGGCGCACGTGGTTCTCACAGTCCCCACCAGAGGTCTTCCCTGGAGGGTTCCGGCAGCCACAGCGTGAAGCAGGGCCAGGAACGGTGGAACAGTGCCCCCGGAGGAGGAGGAAGGATCGCAGGGGGCAGCGCTGGGGCCTGGGGCCTTGCAGGGGACAGTGGCGAGGCTGGACCTGGAGGCTGGGCGGGTGGCCTGGCCCCGGGGGAAGGGAAGTTTCTGGATGCTGGATAGGGAAGGGGGTCCACCGACAGGTAAGGGGGAAGCAGGAAGCCTTATGTGAGGGAAGAGGCGGGGGTAGGAAGGGCGGAGAGTAGGTCCTTGAAACCTAGGAGCCCTTGCATCTGCAGGGGTAACTGGCACCTGGCAAGCCAGGTAAAAGGATCTTTAACTTTATTATTTTTAATGCGGATAAAAGCGTTTGATTGAGTCAGACATTGGTGGGAAGTTGAGAAGCATCTTGGAAATCAGTGCTGGATGCAGGAGAAGCAGAAACGGGTCTTGTTCAATATGAAACTAATTTTGATGCGTTTATCATTGAATTTCATTCACTGGGAGGCAGCAATCCCATTTCAATGCCTTAGGATGAAGGCCACAGGGGAGCTCTGATAATGTCTTGATTGCTGCAATAGCTGAGTGTTGGAACTCAGTTCCTTCATCTTGCTCCACTACACCAATTGTCCAATTGGAGCCCCTCTGCCAGGGACTGGACCATCTGGACACCCAGTATTTTACAGGGAAGCCATGAGAAGTTGTGTGTGTATAAGAGAGTCTTTATTGTAGAAGCCAGTGGCCATGTTGCCATTGCTAACAAGGAACCACTAGACAAAACAGTTCTTCAAAGCAAAGTCCCATACAGTAGCTGCACCGGCTAGGTAACAATACATCTTTCCCACACAGCAGCAGCCTGCTGGTCAGTAATACAAATTTCCCTTAATACAGCAGCACCTAACATAGGAGAGCCTCACCAAGCAGCCTCACTGGCTGGTCAGTAACAACTTTATACTAATTTGACAAAAGAGGCTTCTTTCCAAATAGTGACCTCGGTTTTTTGGGTTATATAAGGGAACACTTGTGCAGTGTACATTCAGATTACTGTGGATTTGGTCTTGCACCTGTGTATAGTCCTTGGACTCCCTGATTAAGATTCCCATGCTCATAGTGGCCTTGAACATCTGGTGTACTCTGAAAAGGGCCTTTATACTCTAATTGGCCTTGAGCATCTGAATAGGGTCCCCACCCTGAGTCAGAGGCAGACAGGGACCAAATGCTTTGCTTTGCAGTATACTACCTGGTGGAGGAAAAGAACGTTCTGCCCTCTTCCTGCCTTGTACTGCTTTTGGAAGTCTTTCTGGGAGCCCTCCCCCACCCGACAACACTGTTGTGATTTCTGGAGACACTGACGGCCTCTAGGATGAACTCAGGGACTCAGGAGCAAGGCTTGCCAAGAGCCCCTGTTGCTTTGGTGGGCATCAGATTTCCCTGCACTGTGATTCTGGCCCTTTCTGTAGGTCCCTTTTGATCTGGTTTCCTCTATGAAATGACTGAAGACCTCACACTTTTTGCCTTTCTTCCAAGACAAAGGAGCCAGTGCAGTGTTTGTTTCTGAAACCTGTCTTTTTGATCATCTTTCTGAGGTTGAATCATACGGGGGGGGGGGGGGGGGGTGTGAAAGGAATTTTTAGGGATGAAATAGGCAGGTTTAGGAAATTTTAGGAATTAAGGGATCCGTGGAAAAAACACAGGGCTACAGAGTTGCAAAAGGGTACATTTCCATAAGACAAAGGAGTTGGGAGCGGCTGAAGTTATATTTCCATAAGACAAGGGAGCTGGGAGTAGCAAAAGCGTACACATTTACAAAATGGAAGAGAAAGCCCAGAGGGAATAGGAGAACAATAAGGGAGAAGAAGGAGGGAACATCACATACTTCACGTGAGACTTGAGCTCAGGAGTTGCTATAGTGACCAAATCAAAGGGGGGATAGTGACCAATCAGAGGGGATATCAAGGCACAAAAAACTGCAGCCTTTATAAACCATAGAGAAAAGGAACTCAGTGGACTCTTCCCCCTCCCCACGTGGGAGTCTGTACTTGTTCTTCAATAAATTTCCATCTTTGCTATGCCATCTTCCGTCCATGGTTTCATTCTTTGGCTCCAATGGACAAAGAGCCCAGGAAGCCATTCTGCCCAGGGGAACACCGCGCGTTTCCAGTTCAAATTTCCGGTTTCATAATGGTGCGTCATCCGGGAATTTTATAAGTCAATCCTCTTCACGTCGAACAGTGAGTGTACCCACAGAGTCTGTCCCTTTCCTGTCTCTTGTATGATTTTGGAGGCTGACGGATGCCCACCAGCCACTTAAACCTAGCTGCTGTCCAAAAAGCAGGCATTTCCCTCTCTCTTTCACTGCTCTTTTCTAGATGCACTCTCCATCTCCAGGGCCAAACTAAAAGTGGGCATGGGTCAGTCAAGTAATAGCCACTAGGGTGACTGCCACAAAAAGTCTCCCATGTCAGGATAAACTGGTGCCAGGTCGGGTTAGAGCATTAGGCTTCCGCCAGTAGCAAGTCAAAGCCTGGCCATTGACTAAATGAGTGCTTGGGTCCCTGCCCAGCTCCGAAGACCAAAGAGGCAGTTCTCCCCCAGGTCCGGGACTTTTGGATGTTCCTACATGAGTAGGAAGCCACAGAGGGGGTGCTGGGAGAGAACCTCTCCATGGCATGAAGACCGCCTCATAGGGTTTTAACAACACATGTAATTAAATTCTGACCTATCCAGGGGATGCAAATAAGGGTTGGTCACCCAGCATTCTGAGTCCTTGTGGTTGTCTTAAACAGCCGGGAGAGAAACTGAGACATGTTTCCAAAAACATCACATTTCTGACCCACTACATATGTCCACTCCTCTGGCCCAGATCCCAAGCAGGTTTTAATTGGAGAGTCATCTGCCTTTTTCTTCTGCTCTCTATCTCGGTCAGGTGAAATAGCATCCAGCCAGTAAGGCCACTGCCTCTGCAGTCCAGGTCCCATTAAGCTTAACTCCTCAGTCTCCATTTGTGCAGGCCTCTCTAGTATAAAGGGAGTAAAAGGTCCTAAGGGAAAACTTCTAGGCAAGAGTTAAGACACGTGGGGCCAGCCAACTGTTTTCTACTCCTGGCATATAAGCATGGCACTAGATCTTCCCATCAGGTGTAACAGGAGTTAATCACAGTCCTTAGCCACTCCTGCCAGTACCCCCTGTAGAAGTTTTTAGCCTTTCAGAGACTACACTCCCAGTCCGAACGGTTTTTTTTCATCAATCTGCTTTACTAAAGACAGAATTAAAGGTTTGCAGCACCTAAGAAGGGGTTAATTCCTCAGGCAGAGGAGGACTTTCCAAACTCCTTAGAAATCTAGGATGGGAGCCCCAAGTCTGTCTGCATGCAACAGACAGTAATACCAGAGAGCAAGGCTACTGCAAGTGAGGAAGGCATGGCCCCTTACTGTGCGCAGCAGCACTACAGCGATGCAGCTGTTAAGTTAGCCCATTAGTTACTAGGTCGCTTGCCTCTCACCTTTATTGTGATCTCTGTGAAATAAATCTGGAGTTGTGAGATGTCTTTTTCACTCTGCGTCTGACACTCCGGGTGTTTTGCGTTTCATATTAGGGGTTTATAAATGTTTTCAATGCTTAATACACCATATACAATAAGCCGTTTGCCACATGTTACACTTTATATACAAATTGTTTGTTGTACTAAAGGTTGTTATCTCAGAATGTTATAAAATAAAGGTTTTATCAATTACATTTTAAACAAATCTATAAACATGCCACTTTTTGAATTTTGTCATATTGGACAGCCATTGCTTTACTTTGGTGCATTTATGTCTTTAGAAAAACCCATGGAAAGGACTCTGACTTACTCTATATTGCAGGCTTCTAAGCAGGTCATATCTTTGAACTAAATGAGGGTTTGTAGAACTTCAGGGAATTATTCAGTAGAAATAACAAAAATGTATATATAGAAGGTGGTACCCCCTTACCAGCATACCTCAGTGAAAGTTTAAAAAGGGGAAATAAAAATCTCTTCCACCAATATTCACCTTTAATAAGAACTAAGAAGGTGTCCTTTTACCTAAACCATCGGTCGCCAACTGGTGGTCCGCGGACCACTGGTGGTCCGTGAGGTTCAGTAAAAACAAAGAGCTAAGCCAGTGAGCAGGGAGTTTAAAGTATTAAATTTGGCCAGAAATAAATTCCATCCTT